AGATTAATATATCAAAATATATAAATAAATTTATAAAAAAACATATAAGATATTCAAGAAAAAAAATTTTCCAACTAAAAACCTGTTAAAAGTCTTTGTAATTAATATTATTTAAAATATATCATTTGCAAGTTATTTCGCAGGGAGTTTGGATCTTGTGGTAAATGATTTGTTAAGCACTTGGTTCATACCTGTGTTCGGTCACTCTAGGGGTAAAGTCACGTGAGGTATGATTTATCAAGGTCACGTGAGTGTGAAGTGTTGTAATATTATTTAAAACATATTCTTTGCAAGCCATTAATTTTACAAAGACTTTTGGACGCTTTAGTGGTAAATGATTTCTTAAAGTTATACGACTCATATCTGAGTGTTGTCACTCTAGTGGTAAGGTCACCGTGAGGAATGATTTGTTCTAGTGGTAAGGCCAACTGGGGTCTGAGGCGTCGTTTTTCCAACTTGAGTCTAGGATAATGACGTAGTTATTCTATTTTTTTAATAATTAATTTATATAAAAAATATAAATTTTAATTTTAATTTATAATATATTTAAGTTGAAGGAAAAGAAGAGAAAAAAAAAATTATTTAGTTATGAAAAATTAGAGAGGAGGAGATGAAAAAAAAAATTTATTTTATTTTTTAAAATTTATTTATTTATTTAAATAAGAGAGAATTCTTCTTCTTTATTTCTCTCAATTTAGATATACTATTAATCAATTAGTTAATTAATTAAAATTATTCATCTGATAATAATATTAAAATAAATTTTAATTTTTGTATTTTTTACGTGAATTAATTAAATAAATATATATTTATTGAATAATTAACATATGTTTTTATCTTGTTTGTCTAGATTAGACAAAACCATATTAAAAGGATTTAGAAGGTAGATGAAAAAATGAAAGGGGAAATTAAAAGGTAGAGGAAAAGAGTAAGAAATGGTTTCATTAAGGTGGAATTATCCGATTTGTAGGATTTTCAAATGATTTTGAGCTCAAACGAGTATGAATTCTCTGATATGAGCAATGATATTAAAATCTCAATGTCCAAGAAAAGCAGCTGCTGGTATGAGTGCGGCTTTTAGGCTAACAAGCGAAAACACTTAGCATAAAAAGGTTTCTTTATCTCTAAGAAACGGTTCAAAGTTCAAACCTATGCATTTCCCTTCCCACCTCATTCACCCCACAAGTTCAACTATTCTTGTTCTATACCATATCAAAATTCAATATTTGGGTGGCCCACTTTTCACATTATGTACACATTTATTTTCAATTTCATAAATTAAAAAAATTAATGTGGTAACTAATTTTTAGTTGCAATTTTTAGAATTTAAAAGTGTTGTAATTAATTTAACAACAGAATTAATAGCAAATTAATGAAGGAAACAATTCATGGAAAATAGTTCTAAATTGGCTTTTGAAGAAAATCGGAATTAACCAAAATTAATAACGGAATTTTGCAATTTGTGGACTTGAATTTAAGTCTTTTATAATTAAGAGACTCTTTTTTAAAAGCAAAAAGGAAGAAACGGAGCAACTTTGGAAAAGTTAGACTAGGGTGTTAGATGACGAGAAAATCGTAAGCTGCTTGATTTAGGGTATGTTTGATGA